CAGCAGTGTGTCACTAGTAGCTACTGTTTAGACACTGCAGCTCTAGACTTATCTCTACTCACTTGCCAGTTTATCCTTACTCCTAAGAAGTGATCTTTTGGAAGTCTTTATATGAATGCTCTACCTGTTCAGTGAGGAATCTCTAGCTAATTGGAACTTGAATGCTCCTAATCTCATGCAAACACCAGCAATTGTTCAGTTTACAGCTTCCCTGTAGTTATTCTTTAGCCAGGAATTGACATTCCTGGCCCTCTAGAGTCTCACCCTACCCACAAACAGCTTAATGTTCAGTTCAAAATGCAAGAGGACCCGTATGCAGATTTCTGGTATTCTGCCTCAAATTCCAGCTTCCTCAGTCTCCACAACCATCTGATGAGCTCAGTGAGAACTCCAACCTCTGCTTGGCTTCCCCCACCCTATGCAGCAGCGTATAATATGCTGCTACACAGAAAGCTAAGGTGATACAGAACTTATCTCATTTGCATCCCTTCTCTTGGGGATCATAGTATTATACTGTTTATTGTTTACTCTCTGAAAAGTTTACTTTTTGTCCAGTTTTTGTCTGGTTTTCTATGGCAGGACTAGTCTAACACCAAGTACTCCATCTTGGTCCCAAGCCTATAGATTATGTCTTGCTAACACTTTTGATCTTAGGCCAGCAATGGTTTCTGCCTTTATTGGAGGCTGTAGCACATAAAAAACAATGGGTACTTTTCATCCCAGAAAATTATGAATATTGTCTGTTTATTCTTCATAAGAGTAGAAATTGATGTGGGGAGTCTCGTATTTACAAACTAATGGGTTAAAAATTTTAAGTACTTAAAGTACTGAGATTGTATTTGTACCCTGAGATGTTGTACTATCCCTTTTTGGCACCCAGTTCTTTCCGAGTCCCTACAGAAGCCCATTGAAGAAGACAGTATTGTTATCTTGACTTTAGATATGAGGGAACTGAGACACGGAAAGGTTAAGTAACCTTGACATAGTTGCCCCAGCTAGTGAACAGCAACACTGGGATTTTTGTTGCAGGTAGCCTTGTTTCGGAGCCCATGTTCTTAACCACCATTAAGAAAGCTCCAGAAGACCTAACAATGTGAACAGTATATACATAAGTACTTAAGATGTAAATATTTATACATGCACTGTCACTTTATTATTTTCAGATAAAGAAACTGAGACTGAAAAAGTTAAGTGACTTTCTTGGTGTACAGCTAGGAAGAAGTAGATTTAGAATTGAAACCATATCTGCTTTTGTCAAGGAACTGTCTATGTGGATGATCATCAGAGTGTTTTTAAAATGAAAAAGTGAACTGGAAACAGTGGGGTATTCATTAAATAAATCATGGTACAATGCAAGTCATAAAATACCACACAACCACCCTATTTTTAAAGATTTTCATTCATTTTTATTTTTTCTTTTTTAAATTATATTTTATTGATTATGCTATTAATTATGATTTCCCCCTTTGCGCCCCTCTACCCAGCATCCCCCACTCCCTCAGGTAATCCCCATACCTTTGTTCATGTCCATTGGTCATCTGTTTAAGTTCTTTGGTTACTCCATTTCCTACACCATACTTTACATCCCCATGACTATTCTGTTAACTACTAATTTGTATTTAATCCCCTCACCTCTTTACCCATTCCCACAAACCCCCTCCCTTCTGGCAACCATCAAAATGCTCCCCATATCCTTGCTTCTGTCTCTGTTCTCGTTTGCTTAGTTTGTTTTTTAGATTCAATTGTTGATAGGTATGTAATTATTGCCATTTTGCTGTTTGCAGCTTTCATCTTCTTTTTCTTAAATAAGTCTGTTTAACATTTCATGTAATAATGGTTTAGTGATGATGAACTCCTTTAGTTTTTTGTCTGGGAAGCTTTTTATCTGCACCACCACCCTTACATACCTCATTTTTAGAGAGAGGGGAAGGGAAAGAGAAAAGAGGGAGAGAAACATCGATGTGAGAGAGAAACATCAATTGGTTGCCTTACATATGCACCCTGATCAGGGAACGAACCCACAACCCAGGCATTTGCCCTGACCAGGAATTGAACCAGTGACATTTCACTCTGAGGAACAATGCCTAACCAACTGAGCCACATTGGTCAGGGCTCACACAAGCACCTTTTAAAATAAAATGTTAAAGAATATTTATTGACTGGGAGAAAAGCAGTATGTAAAAGGATACTTATTTTAAATATATAAACATTTATGTGAAGGAAGACCCACTTACTCTTGGTTTATCCCCACTCAAACACTGCAACAAACATACTGTTTTTGCTGATAAACATATTGAGACATAAGGTGATATTGTTCCAAGGGAATATAAGGAGAATTCATGCTGTATGGCAGTGTGTACTATAAAAAAGGCTTTCTTACAAAATCATTTGTTTATCTTTAAGTCTACAAATTCCCATTTTTCTACCTAAATACTTTCATTTTATCTATTCCAAATATTTACAAAACTAGATTTCCTTTCATAAATGATTAATGCTCTGTTTAATTTTCCTGGAAGCTGTTAGCAGGGGTCTGATAACAATTAGTTTTGTTTAAAAAAAGACAAAAGGAAAATTCTTTTCTAGGAAAAATTATAGCCTCCATGTTTTTCAATTCTGAACTTTTTACTTTATCTTCGTATTTTAAATTAATTAACATATTCTAATTGGCTTTCCATTTGCCTAAGCAGTTGTTATAAGAAAGAAACTGACTTGGCAAGAGTAATGGTGAGTAAAGAGAAATTATGTGAAAGCAGGAAAAAAGAACAGCTCTCTGCCCTCCATTTCCGTTTATGTGGAAGGCATAGGTCTGCATCAGCTTTAAGACTGCAACAGTAGAACTAAAGAAGAGTAGGCCTAGGCAGATTCAAGCCATGTGTCATCCTCTTAAAAAAACCAGACAGGCTGCAAACCATCTCAGTAGCCTCTTGCTACCTGTGTTGGGTTGCTAGTGCAAGTTCAGCTCAGTCCTGAACCTCTCATCCGCTCATGAGAAAGAGCTTCTATGAAGACACTAGTTCATACAGGATCTTCAAGAGTATAGAGGCATGGAAAAGTATTTTTCTTTTAGCTCCACTGTCTCCAGTATCATATTGAGGGATTTTCTTTGTGCTATATGGTCACCTCACCTAAGAATTCTACAAGGTGTGTGAGAGGCAAAGGCTATTGTCACTCTCACTCATAGCAATTGTCCATAAGCTCATAGTTACAGTAGTTATTGAAGTAAACTACGTGTGGGGAATTGGACTATTTTGTGGAAATTGTATTTTATAAATATTCTTCCATTCACACTTGCTTTGAGGGGGAAGTTTCATTAGATAGGCCCTTCTTTGTGTATAAAACTAAAAGTCTGTAACATGATAGCCCCTAAAACCTTTTTTTTCACTTTAAGTACAAACCATTATTTTAAATGTGATTTTAAATATTGGTGCTTATGTTTTTAAGGGACAATTATACTTGAAATTCACATTAGAAACCAAGATTGTGTCATACATTTAGATACCCAGATGTTGCTTTTAAGTGTCATTTTTTAAAATGTTGAAATTAAAAAACAACTTGGGAGCACTTGGCTTTGACAGTGTTGTTGGATATTAGTTACATTAATATGGTTTTTTTTTTCATATTATAAATGTTCTTTTAAAAAATAAAAAAATAGCCCTGGCTGTGTGGTTCAGCTGGTTCGGTTGGAGTGTCATTCTGTGCACCAAAAGGTTGAGAGTTCGATCCCTGGTCAGGGCACATACCTAGGTTGTGGGTTCGATCCCCAGTCAAGTCACTTAGGGGAGGCAACTGATCAAGGTTTCTCTTTTTCTCTTTCAAATCAATAAACACCCTCAGGTGACGATTTAAAAATAAAATCAGAAAATACCGTAAGAAAAAGAACATTAAATATTACACCCATTGAGAAATAATCAGTAAGATAGAAGAAAAATATGTAATTACTCTATTTCATCTGTTTTTTAAGATGCACATCTTTTCAGATTTTACCATCTCTGAAATGAGGTGTGAAGGAATATAATTGCCTTTTTTAGTGGTACATATAACAATGGTTTCTTAAATTTGATGGTCTTATGGTCAATGAAAAACAGTAATAGATTCCCTGTAATTTGGGGTATAGAGCCTTACAGCTAGAATAGCAAATCTGAGAGAGACTGCATTGCACAAATCTCTTGCACTGATTTGAGGAAACATTTCTCACTGCAGAGTGCCTCTCTGGAACTGGTATGTAGGGCATGCTGAAGTCCAATTTCATTCCTCCTCTTCACTGCCATAACACTCCAGATGCGAACGAGAAATAGATGGGGCTTGGTTCCCGCAGGAGAGAGGGCGTCCTTAGCATCCATGCTTTAACTCCCACAGAGAAAAGACTGGTGGGGGTATCTTTCTGAGGCCACCTTACATTTATCTCCAATAAAAGGTATAATCATTTATGGTTAGTTCTGAGGCAAAAAATAGCTGTTAAGCTTAGAAAAATCTTTGGTAGAGTGACTGCTATGCTCTTGTGTAATGATTCATGGTAAGTAGTTTGTTTCACTTATTGGGTAGTAAATATTTCTATGTTGTGGTCCTTCATGTCTTTTTATTATACAATATGAAGACAGAGCCATTTAATTCAAATACCATATTTTGCCATGTATAATGTGTACTTTTTGGCCCAAAATTTTTAGGGAAAAATAAGGATGTGCATTATACATGGGTATAATGATTACATACCATGGGTATAATAATAGATATAATAATCCCATGTATAATGTGCACAAAAACATGAGCACACATTATACACAGGAATGCATTACACACAGCAAAATACAGTAAAACTGGTATATAATAAGATAGCTTTTTCAACATTTCCTGTATACATCTATATGTTATTTGAATGCAAAGCAAGTATTATGTATATATATATGTACTTTATTTTTTATTAGCTATTTTTTTCATAAAACCTGTAGGTTGTTGTTTTCTAACTAGAAATTTAAATTTCTTCCATTTATATATTCATACAGGAAATACTAAAGAATGAAAAATATAGAGAAGAAGTTAAAATAAAAAGCCAAGAGTTTTATGAAAGAGAAAAACTTCTTAGTAAAGAAAGCAACGAACTCTTGGCTCCACCAGTTGAAATGCAGATTAAAGGGCATGCATCTGCTCCACACTTTGGAAAAGAAGAACCTTCGGAGGCTCCCACCAGCACTGGTAAAACTTTTCAACCAGGATCCTGGATGCCACAAGACAGCAAGAGGCACAATCAATGAATACACTGTGGTAAAAGCTTGTTTTATTTATATGTATGTGACCATTTTATCAAATAAAGTAAAAAGTTATTTTGTGATTATAGGACTGTACAATAGTTTTCTATTACATTAAACTTAAGAATTCCTTTTCAGGATACATAAGAAATATGAGGTTATGAACTAACTTATTTTAAACTTTAATCCTTCATTTGATTTAGTCATCATTCTGTTTATGAATGTGCTCTGTTAGGAAATATCATGTAGCTGTAAATGCTCAGGATTTTGGATCCTTATTATTTAAAAATCCTCAAGATATATCTTGACAAAGATAATAAGGAGAGTGAGCTCTCCTAAATAATCAAATATAAAAGAAAAAAATGAGAAGACTTATTTCTGGAGAGGCACTCTATAAGATGCTAAGGACTAATTAAAAACATAAAATTGAGAGACCCAAGATGGCGGAGGAGTAAGTGGACACTATACTAACCTCCTTCCAGGACAAATCTGGAATTACAACTAAGTTCTATAGAAATCATCATCAATAACCAAATGAACACTAGCTGGAAGGAAGCCATATAACAAAGGACAGACAGAAGAAACCACTTCCCCACAACAGGACTGGTAGGGAGTACAGAGGAGGCACTAGAAGACTGGCTGGGCTCCCACAGGTGGTAACTGAAGTTCCAGAAGGATATTTCAGTGGCCTGAGGGTTCTCTCTGAGAAGTATAGGGTCTAAACCCTAAGCTGGGCTCCCCGGCCTACAGCACCAGAACTGGTAAAGGAACCCAAATAACATATGGCTATGAAAAGCAGTGGGGTCTCTGTATACCAGGGAGTGACAGCTGGAGATGCAGAGATCCTCTCACAAGGCCAACACACAAAATCCTGTTTCAGCCACTTATCCTAGGCTCCTACAGAGGGAGGGCAGAGTGGACTAGAGACATGTGAGGAGACTCAGGCTGGTGGCTCTGGGGAGAGAACTGAAGGAACAGCCACAAGGATCCCTGTGCTGAGTCATTCTCCATACTGAAGAAGCCATCTTTCTCAGGCATTTATATGTATGTGTAAGAGGCCAGCACTCCTCTCTGAATGGCATCAGACTGAAGGGAAGCAATAGACTTGCCCAAGAAATACAGCTAAGACCATTCACTAATAAACCCTACAAAAAGCCTGCAGGCAGAGGCAGATTGCTGGGAGCTCTGAGACTTTAGCTGACCCTCCCCCAGGCCCAAAGCTGATAAAAGATGGCTTTGGTGTGCAGCCTGGTTCTTTCTGCACACACCCAGGCCAATCAGAGGGAGCCACACACTGTGGACCATTGATAGCTCCAAACAGGTTGCCCAGGGCCAGTCAAAGGCAGGGTTTGACTTAGGGCTGCACTAGAGTCTTGCAGATCTACCTAATACATAGAAACAAACATAAAGACCAGCCAAAATGGGAAGATTTAAAAAACAGGCCCCAAATGAAAGAACAAGAGAATTCTCCAGAAGAACTAGAAGAAATGGAGGCAAACAATTTATCAGATAGAAAGTTCAGAGTAATGATTATAAGGATATGCAACAGCATGAAAAAGAAGATATAGAAACCATAAAAAAATGACCAGTCAGAAATAAAGAATGCAATATCTGAAATAGATAATACACTGGAAGGAATAAACATAGGTTAGATGAAGCAGAGGATCGAATCAGTGATTTGGGATACAAGGTAGAAAAACACCCAAGCAGGGCAGCAAAAAGAAAAAAGAATTTTAAAAAATAAAGGGAGCTTAAGAAAACTTTGGGGCAGTGTGAAGTATAAAAAATCTGCGTCATAGGGATACAAGAAGAAGAGAGTGAGCAAGGGATCAAGAACCTATATGAAGAAATAATGACTGAAAACTTCCCTAATCTAATGAAGGAAAAAGACACACAAGTCCAGGAAGCTCAGAGAGTCCCAAACAAGTTTAACCCAAAGAAGTCTTACACCAAGACACATCATAATTACAATGGCAAAGCCTAAGGACAAGGAGAGAATCTTAGAAGTTGCAAGAGAAAAGCAGGTACTTAATATAAGGGAGCACCAATTAAACTGTCATCTGATTTCTCAACAGAAACATTTTAGGCCAGAAGGAGGTGGTATGAAATATTCAAGGTGATGAAAAGCAAGGATCTATAACCAAGGCTACTTCCCAGCCTTGGCTATCATTTAAAATTGAAGGAGAAATAAGGAGCTTCCCAGACAAGAAAAAGCTAAAGGAGTTTGTTAACATCAAACCAGTACTGCAACAAGTGTTAAAGGGATTGCTTTAAGAAGAAGAAGAGAAAGAAACAAAAACAGAGGAAAATAGTCTAACAATAAAATGGCACTAAATACATGTCTATTATTAATCACCTTAAATATAAATAGCTTAAATGCTCCAATCAAAAGACACAGGGTAGCTGAATGAATAATAAAATAAGACCTATATATATACTGCCTCCAAGAGACCCACCTCAGATTGAAAGATACACACAGACTAAAAGTAAAGAGATGGGAAAAGATTTCATGCAGAAGAAAAGGGGAAAAAGCTGTGGTGCTAAGACTTATATCTGAAAAAATAAAACTTTAAAACCAAGGCTATAGTAAGAGACAAAGAAGGACAGTACATAATGATAAAGGGAAGACTCCAACAAAAGGATATTACTCTAGTAAGTATTCATGCACCCAATCTTGATGGACATGAATGGGAAGATCAAAAGAAATACAGTCATAGAAGGAGATTTTAAGACCCCATAGACTTTAATGAATAGATCTTCCAGATAGAAAATCAACAAGGAAACAGGAGCCTTAAACAACACACTAGATCAGATGGATTATATGATATCTTCAGAGTATTTCACCCCACGGCAGCAGAATATACAAAAGCCCTGGACCAGATGGCTTCACAGGTGAATTTTACCAAACATTCTGAGAAGAACTAACACCTCTCCTTCACAAACCATTTCAAAAAATTCAAGAGAAGGGAAAGCTCCCAAATTCATTTTAAGAGGCCAGCATTACCTTAATTCTAAAACCAGATATAGACACTACAAAAAAAAATTATGGGCCAACATCCCTGATGAACACAGATGCTAAAGTCCTCAACAAAATATTAGCAAACCAAAACAGCAATGCATCAAAAAGATCATACACACGATCAAGTGAGATTTATTTCAGGAATGCATGGTTAGTAAAATATTCACAAGTCAATAAATGTGATTCACCACATAAATAAAATGAAGAATAAAAACCACTTGATCATAGCAATAGATGCTGAAAAAGCATTTGATAAAATGTAGCACCAATTTACGATAAAATCTTTCAGCAGTGTGGAAACAGAGGAACATACCTAAATATAATAAAGGCCATATATGACATACCTACTGCCAGCATCATACTCAACAGGGGAAAACTACAAAAATTCACTTTAAGATTGGAAACAAGACAGGATGTCTACTTTCACCTCCCTTATTCAACATGGTACTGAAAGTCCTAGCAATCAGAAAAGAAGAAGAAATAAAAGGCATTCAACTTGGAAAGGAAGAAGCAAAACTGTCTGTATTTGCAGATGACACAATACTGTCCCTAGAGAACCCCAAAGATTCTACCAAGAAACTAGTAGAACTGATAAATGAATTCAGCAAAGTAGCAGTATACAAAATTAATATCCAGAAATCAGTTGCATTTTTATATGCCATTAATGAACTAATAAAGGGAAATTAAGAAAACAATCCAATTCCAAATTGCTTCAAAAAGAATAAAATACCTAGGCATAAACCTAACCAAGGATATACAAGATTTGTACTCAGAAAATTGTAAGACACTGAGAAGGAAACTGAAGAAGATACAAATAAATGGAAGCAAATCACATGTTCATAGGAAGAATTAACATTAAAATATCCATACTACCCAAAGCAATCTATAAATTCATCACAATTCCTATCAAGAGTCCAATGTTGTATCTCACAGAACTAGAATAAATATTTCAAAAATTTACATGGAATCAAAAAAGGCCCCACATAGCAACAGTGATCCTGAGAAAGAAGAACAAAGTTGGAGGAATCACATTACCTAACATCAAACTATTCTGTAAGTCCATAGTAATCAAAACATCGTGGTACTGGCATAAGAACAGACACAGGTCAATGGAATGGAATACAGAGACCAGAATTAAACCCAAACCTTTACAGTCAATTAATATTCAAAGATGAAGGAAGGCTAAAGATAGTTTATTCAATAAATGGTGTTGGGAAAATTGGTCAGATACGTGCAGAAAAATGAAACTAGGCCACTTTCTTATGCCACACCAAGAAAAAATTCAAAATGGATCAAAGATTTAAATGTTAGACCTGAAACTATAAAAATCGTAGAATACATAGCAAAATCTTGGACAATACTCATTGCAATATTTTATCGGACATGAATCCCCAGGCAAAGGAAACAAAAGAAAAAATAAACAAAAAGGACTACATCAAACTGAAGATTTTGTACAGCAAAGAAAAAGATCAACAAAATAAAAAGACAACACAGAATGGGAGAACATATTCACCGGTACATCTGATAAGGCATTAATATCCAAATTTTAAAGACTTAACAAAACTCAACACCAAAAAACAAACAATCCAATTAAAAAATTGGCAAAGGACCTGAACAGACACTTCTCCAAGGAGGACATACAGATGGCTAATAGACATGTGAAAAGATGCTCAGCATCACTAATCATCAGAGAAATGCAAATTAAACCCACAATGAGATACCATCTCACACCTGTCAGAATGGCTATCATCAATAAATCAACAAACAAGTGCTGGCAAGGATGTGGAGAAAGGGGAACCTTTTTGCACTGTTGGTGGGAATGCAGACTGGTGGCACCACTGTGGAAGGCAGTATGAAGATAACTCAAAAAATTAAAAATAGATCTGCCTTTTACCCAGTGATCCCTCTTCTGGGAATATATCCGAAGGAACCCAAAACACTACTTAAAAAGAACTTAAGCATCCCTATGTTCATTGCAACATTATTTAAAATTGCCAAGATTTGGAACTGGCCTAGTGTCCATCAGTAAACGAGTGGATGGAAAATAACTTGGTCATTTACACAATGGAATACTACTCACCCATGAAAAAGAGGAAAATTCTGCCCTTTGTGACAGTATGCATAGACCTGAAGAACATTATGCTAAGTGAAATAAGCCAGTCAGAGAAAGATAAATACCACATGATTTTACTCATATGTGAAATCTAATGAACAAACTGAACTAACAAACAAAATAGAGACACATTTACAGAGAACAGGATGATAGGTAAGGGTTGGGGGAGGTTAGGGGTTGGAGGAATTGAGCAAGAAGGAAAAAGGACTCATGGACATGAACAACAGTGTGGTGATTATGACGTTGGAGAGGGGATATAAGAAGACTAAATGGTAATAGAAAAAATATAATAAATTTTTTTTTTAAATCATAAAATTGCATAAAACATTTTCAGGCCAAGAAAATTTAGTTGACTGCCCTGGCTGCTCTTGCTCAGTAGATTGAGTGCTGGCCTGTGAAGCAAAAGGTCACTGGTTTGATTCCCAGTAAGGGCACATGCCTGGGTTGCAGGCCAGGTCCCCACTTGGGGGCGTGCAAGAGGCAACTGATCGACGTATATCTTGCAGTTGAGGTTTCTCTCCCTGTTTCTCCCTACCTTCCCCTGTCTCTAAAAATAAATAAATCAAAATTTTAGTTGATAAGTGGGGGAAAAAAACCATAATGCCTTTGATGAGTAGATGAGACAAAAGCTAGCTTATGGATTGAGGTTGGCATTGCGGACAGGAATTAGGACCAATATAAGTAGACTATCCATCACAAAAGTATAAAAGAACAGTAAAAAGAGAATTAGTACAATACCTGGAATTCCATGAGATTGAAAATTATTTTGAGGAAACAGAAAATAGGAGAGGATTCTAAGTGCGATTCCACTGATGGTGTGGTTCCAGGGGTTTGTATATTGAAGAAAAATGTAGAGATGACAACACTGAACACTGTACTTACAGAAAACTATTTTTGAATGGTCATACATTTTTTTGAAGTGTACTACCAAGTTTTGTTGCTAATTAGTTATTAATTTTAATAGAGTTCCTTGCACAGTGTTTGGCATTATAATAGATACTCAATAAATATGTATTGCATAAATGACCCAAATTTTAATACTCTGAATAATGTTAAAATCCTTGGTTAAGTGTTAAAACTGAACTCCTAAAAACATAGGTTAAGATTTTTACTTAAAAGATGGTCAAAATTGTTATTGCTTAATAAACCACAGAAAAATACTTTATTAATTGTACTAAAACAAGTAATCATATGTCATCACCATAACTTATTGAATGACAAAGCCACTAAGTGACAATACTAATATTTCAGCAGCCCTATTACTATCAAGTTAACCATTCTGTCTCTTTATATCATTCGAAGTATTAGGACATTATACCATAGAGGCAAAAAAGGAACTAGCCACTAGACAACATAAAAATAGGTAAAATTTGTAGAATGGTGGTAAATAAAGATTGAGATGTTTTTGCCCAGGCCAGCATGACTCGGTTGGAGCCTCATCCCATAACCATAGTGTTGAGGGTTTGATTCTGTCAGGACACATACCTAGGTTGCAGGTTCAATTCTCAGTCCAGGCATATACAGTCCCTGAGAAGGCAACCAATCAATGCTTCTCTCTCCCATTGATGTTTCTCTCTGTCCCTTCTTTCCCCTCCTCTCTCTCTAAGAGCAATGAAAAAATGTCCTCAGGTCAGGATTAAAAAAAAAAAAAAAAGTTTTTGAATCCTGGATTACAGGACAAATCATAAATTTCTAACACGCCTGCATATTTCTATTTCCAAATACGTATTATTCATTGTATTCTATATACATCTTTTGCAAGCATTTGCCATAAAACATTTATAGATATTTTAACATGACAGAATTTACATTGATTTTAATATAGTTTTCAGTTAAGACATTTTACATAAGCAGCAAAAAAAGTATTTCAACTGTGCCCTCATGGAAAAATGTCTTATCTTATAGTAAGACGGTACTGGCCCACACCATCCTTAGTAGAGTATGCCCTTTCAGTGATGTTGACAGGTGGGGAAGTTTATAGGAACCCATCCTATAAACAGTGCTTTCCTCAAAGCTACCATTTTTAGGATGACCAGTTGAACTGTTATGTAGTATCAGAACAGAGTTAAATGTCTTACATTTAACTCTGAACTGTAAATCTTGGCCTATCTTTTCATTATACTTGGCTTTTGACCAGACGCATGCAAAGCAGATTTAAGTGTTAAGTAACATATTATCCTGTCCACAATATTTCATATTTTAAAAAATTACATTTTGGGCATTTATATTTTTTAAATGAAAATGTTTTTCATTTCTTAAAGACAGACTTCAAACCTATGCATGCTTTTAAATTTCAAAAGATGTTCATTTTAAATAAGTACAGTATCATATATACATTAAGTACTTTCTCAGAAGTAAATCCTGATTTCGTATGCCTCTACAATACATGCATAAAGCATATTTTCACATCAATAATGGGCTTATAACATTATACAAACAGCTCCAGTATAGAAAATGTGTTGGCTGTTGCATGTAAAGATTTATTTACTTACGTATTTTTAGAGAGAGGGATGGGAGGGAGAGGAGAAACTTCAATGAGAGAAAACATAAGTTGCCTCTGTATGCTCCCAAACCGAGAACCGAACCCCCTACCCAGACATAGGCCCTGACCAAGAATCAAACTGGCAACGCTTTGCTCTGTGGAATGATACCTAACCTACTGAGCCACACTGGTCAGGTTGAGTTTAATCATGTAAATCTAGCCTAACAGAAATAATTTTTCCCCATTATCTATTATCCTTTTCCATTCCCATTTTTACTAACAGATTTCTGGCTGTCACTTTTTTATTTTTTTTACATGATGAATAAACATTTTTCCCTTTCTATTGAATGTATTGGGGTGACACTGGCTAACAGTATTATACAGGTTTTAGATACACAATTCCACATCATCTGTACCGTATTCTCACCACCCCAAGTCTCCAGCCATCACCATTTACCTCCCCTTTACCTTCTTCTACTCCCCCTCCCCGCCCATCCCAAGCACCACTGTTGTCAGTATCCTTGAGGAATTTCTTTCGCTAAATCCCTCCACTCACCCCCAGGTCCCCTCCCTGCCCCCACAGCTATCATCCTACTCTCCATGAGTCTGTGTTTAATTTGCTTGTTAGTTCATATTGTTCATTAGATTCCACGAGTGAGTGAAATCATATGGTACTTGTCTTTCCTTCTCTATTTTTATTTTTTAATCATCCCCAAACCCGTACCATTATATTTTCTTAAAGCCACTACTTAAAATGAAACCTAAATTTCTTCAGCCAAAGCTTTTTCAAACTTTGTACTGAAGAAAAAAATAGAGGTGAGGAGAGTCTATGGTAATCAAATTAAGTTAAAGGACTCCGATACCACACAGGAATAAATCCTAAATTTTACCTTGTGTTTCCAAAACTTTCAGTATTTGAACATTGAATCTCTTCTAATATTTGAGAAGTAAAGAATTTGCCCTTACATATTTATTCCAGATATGAAGTAAATCAAAGTGATCTTATAACCAATTAGTTGCAAGCATAAAAAGTCATTCCTAAACAGGACTCAAACTTTCTCTAATTTAAAACCACATGAGGTGTAAAGTGCCCCCTGTCATTTTCCCTTACTTCATCTATAAGAAAAGAATGGGTGTTAACTATAATTTATTTCAACATTGGGGTTTCCAGCTCATAGATAGCTTCCTAAGCTTATTTCCACTATGCTTAATTTCAAGAAATTAAAAAAAATATGCTCTTGCACATCTAATACAGTAATAACATGCTGAAGTTTATCACATGGATACTATCCCATGGATCAAATTCTGACATGCAAACTGTGTATGTGTGTGTGTGTGTGTTGTGGGGTGGGGGGCAGAGGGGTTAAATATTTGTTACAGGCAGCCTGTCTAGTTTTTTCCCCCTAAAACCAGCCAAAAACGGTAATTGATTATATCACTTCTCAAAACTTCAAACAATATAAATAAATTGGCAAATTTTAAAAGAATTCTGGGTACTAGTAAATGGGATTCTTTAAACAGGGTATTAAAAATAATACCATAACATGGTATTATTTGTTACAAAAGATTGATTTTTCTGAAGAATCACAAATCTCACAATAGTCTCTTCCTCGCCCCACTGCGGCCCTTCCCCCCACCCCCACACAAATATTGTCAAACCTGTTGACCTCACATGTATAAAAAGGCGCCATAAATGTTTGGAAAATCTGAAGAAACAACGAATGGTATATGCCAAACAAATTTAAAATTGGCATGTTAAGACTTTAAATTTTGAAAAAGATATCAGTTAAATAAATACCTTTACATTTTTACAGCAGAACCAATGAAGCCACAGCTTTAGTAGATACCTGAGGATTGTGATGAGTCTATCTTTTGCTATAGCACTTTAAAATGTGGCAAAAGGCGGGATGTATGTATATAAATTATTTTTGTTAACAGCTTGATGGCAAAGACCCAAAAGCATTTTAGATATATCTTAACCTAGTTTTTCTTAAACTGGTCTCTGCAGATCCATGAGGGTCAGTAGTTATACCTAAGCATTTTTTAAAAATTTTGTTTTAATTTCAATAATACAAAAAGCATATCCTAGGTCACTTACATTACTAACCCATAACTAAACACTTAATTAATTATTTCAATGCCTAGGGTTGCAATGTGTTGATTATAATAGCATCAAGTAGGACTGACAACCTAAAATAATAGTAGTAAGAATTGTTCATACCAGTCCATAAATCTTCTCAGGGGTCCTTGGGTTTTCATTTGAGAAACACTAACCTCAACTTTTAGAACATATCCAACTTGTTTTATTACCCTCCAAAAAAATAAAACCCAGCACCTCCTTATAAAAAAGTATCAAATTTATTTCAATATCTACTTTCATTTTTAAATTAAAGGTCCTGGACAATTTTTGTAATTTACAATTCATTACCAGAGATGAGAAAATATCAATAAGCTATTAAATACTAACAGTGAGTAAAATTATTGGGCCATGCATTTATAAGAGCCATATTTCATAGGGAAAGGTTCCAGTTATACTTAACTAAAGGAAATATCCTTTAGCTTTTTATTTCTAATTACAACACATTCTCATTTTGACATAATTTCTCTTTTTCACCCAATTACTACTAAGCCAAAAAAAATTTTTCCAAATGTTAAGCCTTTCTTTACCACTTAACTCACTCTTTAAGAGTTCTTTAAAAGAAATTTGGAATTTTAATTTTCACTATGAACTTGTTTGGTCTAGGACATCACTACCATGAGTTAAAACAAATATAAAAATAAAAAAATAAAAGTGGTATCTATATAATCAGCAAATTATCAGATAAGACATTTTAACTACTATACATTTCTATTTAGTATAAGTAAGAATAAACTGGTTCCAAAGTCCTACAAGGTTTGGCATTTTTATTGCAAGCTTTAAATCAGTGTTACTCTATTCAACAAGTCATCTCTAAGTAAATGGCAGTGTTCATAAGTACAAAAACTGTTATATCCAGTAGGTGGTATTCTATATAGTCAAGATACTAGCATAATTTTTATAAAATTAGATTTTAAAAAGGCAGAATATCTGATAATTACCAGTATCTCAAAGGCTAAAATGAGAAAAATGCAGAAAATCGAAGTACTCATTGATTAATAATATTTTGCTTTGAGGAAGCCAGAAATGATTCTAAGAAATAAACAATAATGATAAAAGATGTAATTAATGTATTGGATCTCTCTTAAGCCAAAGTACACTTTTCACCTCAGGATAACTCTCACTTTTACATTCTTAGTTTCCTTTGTCCAGAATAGGATTCCATTTTGAGCCAATATGTGAACAGAGTTCATAATCTGAGTCATTTCCCCCCCGCACAGGGTGTTTACATTTCAGGACATAAACTGCAAAATGGCAAGTGACTAAGTCAGTTATAAAGAATCTGTAGCATAATAAATGCCAATTTACATAACTGTCAACAGACTTCTATACTGAAGCCCAAGTTGCTATAGTAAGGGTCAGAACTAACATGAATCTTCCTTATGCTCAGACTGTTTACAGAGTAGTCATAAATCCAGAAAAGAAACCTTAGAGGGTCCTTCCAAAGCTGCATAATTTCCCAAATAAGTTTTGTATGGTGCCAGAGCCTGTTCATTTCTTCAATCCTTTTTCAGTCGTTTAGCTTTTGCAATATTTTCTTGACGTTTTTGTTTTTTCTTTTGCTCCTTTTCCCTGGCCTCAATCATCTTGGCCAATTTCCAGGACAGTACAGCACTTGCTAGAAACAATGGCGTAAGGGCCAAAATAACTGTTGTAAGGAAGCCATATGGATCCTTTGCAGCCCATTCCACAACATACTCAGCCCAAGACTTTATATCAAACATCTCTGTAGAGGTCTTAGAAAAGGGAGGCTGGGGGAAAGAGAACAAGAGAAAAGAATATGTAGTTAATCAAATTTTGAAAAAGGTACATTATACAATCAGTTAATTCAGAATTTATTGTCACTCAGTTATTTGCTTTTTAAAAGTACTACTAATTAGTACTATTTTAATAGATTAATATCACCAGTTAACAAAGAATAATTCAGTTAAGACAACCAGAAGAGTGACACTTAAAAGACGTGAAGGTGCAGAAGGTAAAAGTGAAAACCATGTGGAATCTATCATAAGGACTATGCATTCTCACATGTTGCCTATATGCAACATAAATTTTAGCAAACTTTTATAAGAATCTTGAGTTTTATTCATCAGTCCAGGAAACTGCTCAGTCCCATTTATCATTTTTTTGACATAGCCTTAGTACTACTGAATACTAATTAACAAAAATGCAAATCATCAAATTTGGTATTTGAAAAAGATAAGCCAGAGTACATGTAATGCTTGGAGAAGGTGAGGTAATGAATGGCCACTTCCAGAATAAAAAGGAGAAGGTAAGAAGCCGCGATAATATCCATTCATATGCAAAGAGATAAAAGCAAAATGTGATATGTTATTTTATGTCCTCTTTCAGCTTTCAGGACTCCTACTTGAGGAGAGAATTTAATAAATGAGAATACATTTAAAAATGAGAAAATTAACCATAACAGGTGCCATGCATTTGTTCCCTTTTGAGTGGAGAAGGGAGGGCCATCTGGCAAATGAGGATAGCGTGGATCTGAGTGTCATTTTTTATTTTGTTCCAAAGGCTTTTCTACCTTTCACGTTTGTGTCAACCTCTATTCAAAGTGGAGAATTAGAATACCTTGGTAGGAATGGGTTTATATACCATCACTTATATTTTCAGCTGGGATTTAAAAAATTATCTACCTTAGGCTTGAGCTGTGATCTCTAACTTTGTCCTGGGATTATTAGTGAGCCAATTACAGTTTCAGATGGATGACCCTTGGTTGATTGTCTTCTTCTTTAGCTCTACTATAGACCTTTGAGAGGTTTATATTCTATATGCTGGATGGGTTGAAAAGAATAGTTAACAGGATAAAAAGTTTAAGTCACACTTTTCAGGATAATTATAACACAATGTTAAGTGAAAAACTTCTAAATTGTAGATATGCAACCTATAAATGACACCTAGAATTGCCTGGCACAACATAGGCATCTAATACATATCTTTTCTTCCTACTTTGAAAAAAAAAAAATTACTACAACAGCAAATGCCCTATAAGAAAATTCTAATTACTAGAGATCATGTATTTTACTAAGTAACTTATTTACACAATACAATTATAAATTTTATAATTCACTGACAAAAAAAGACGTTAGCTCACTGATGTTACAGCATTTATTTACACGATTAAGTACATAATTACAAAATCAAACACCTCGCCTTACTCTTTATAGGTTTTTTCTCCCTATTTTACGATTCGTGTTCTCCATAGAAGAATCAGAAGAGATAACTAAAACAAAATATAAACCATCAACAATCCCATCACTTCAAGAAAATTGCCACTGGTTTTAACTGTATCCTAATTAAACTAAGATGTTAAATATCCTAATCCTAGCCCACCTTCCCACCCCCCAAATTCGTACGCCCCACCTACACAGTCGGAACTAGGCCCTACAGTGATCCGTCCGTTTCAACTTCTCCAGCCCAGCAATGAATTAACTAATGCCAAATACTGGGATAAGCAAAAGAACTTTGCAATAAAGAGTAAAGCGGGAGTGAAGGGCCTAGTTTATGGCCAAGTTTAGCCATTAACACAAAGAAACGGGTTAACACCTCCCTTGTACCTCCCACACTTTCAGAAATCTTCTTCCTTCCGTAAGGGGTTCGCCGGGCTTGATCTGCGGACCGGACCCGCGCCTGAAGCTGTAGCTGATGACACTTACGCTTCTTCCTTAGGCTTCCCCCTAGTTCATTCTTCCTTCGTTAGCCCACCCGGCCACCAGTCCCTGAGGGCCCACAGTCACCCGACGGTGTCGGTCTCGGCGAGTGCAGACCCTGCGGGACTCAAAGCCGCCGTCCCGGGGGACACGGGACAGGCCCCGCCGCACCTCGCTTCTCCAGTGCCGCGGCCGCCTCCGCCGGGCACGAGGGCGAACCCTCCCCGAAGCAGCCCCCCATCCTCCCGCGCATCGTGCCCAGGACCCCAACCCGCCACTCACCACCAGGCCGGAAGCAGGAAGGCGGAAGCCGCGGCTTTCCTGCCCCGCCCACAGGTCGCCCCAGTCTGAATCCGGCCTGAGAAAGTCGAGAGGCCAGTTTCCGGCTGCGCCATTGCTGCGTGGTCCCGGGACCTTGACTTACAGGACGCGGGGCGGGGGCCAGGACGGCGCCGGGGTTTCCGGGAGCGGCAGGTGATGCCGCCCTGGGCCACCTCCGGGGTCTCCGGTGTGCAGGCGCGGGTGGGCTCAGGCCTCCGGGAATGGGTCCGGATCCTCTGCAGTCTTCCACCTTTGCTCCCTAGGCCAGCCGGGGAACAGCCCCCCTTCCCTGCTGGAGCCAGGTGATGGAGGGCCCCGGTGGGGGAGGTCTGAGGCCCCTGGAAACTCAGACCAAAGAGCGTCGGCAAGAAAGGAGTTGGTCCCCACAGTCAAGGTGAGGGTCCCGCAACGACTCCTGCAGGATTCTGGCGAGTTTCTCCGGATTCACAGGCCACCCTTGGCTGCTCTCGTTGGACTGCAGTTAAAGCCTAACGTAGAGGAGACCCCGGTGGAGGCACCGAATCTAGTTACTAAGGGAAAAGTGCAGCCATGCAATGTGAGGAGGGCTTTTTGTTGTTGTTTGTTTTTAATTTAAGAACCTAACATGTCACAAAAGAATGATCGATATTTGCCCAAAGTAAACGATAAGTAATTAATACTGGGCATCGAGTTCCCACAGAGGCGCTTGTTCTTTCAGTACACAAATAAAGGGACACAAAAGTCAACAAGCAGAAGGAGTGAGTTAATATTGTCTTCTAATCTACAGGAACTGAAAGATTAGCTCTGGTTTGGTTGGTGACCAAATTTTGTGATTGCTTGCACTGAACTGCTCTGTTTGACTACTTTAGCAAATGTTGCAAGACCTCTTGATTGTTGTATGACAAATAAAGCAGGTTTTTATTCTTGAAAGACCATAGAATGTTGTCTTTGAGGAGCAAGCTGTAACATGTATAACTAGTTTAGGTATAACAACATTAACTCTTGTTTACCAGGGACCGGGCTTTTGGCAAATAATCTAAAATAATTTCGTTGGGCATAGGTTAGTGTTTGTATGTTGTATTAGCAGCAGTTGTTTCCTTACTCATTCTTGTTTAAAGACTTGGGTGATGGTTTCAACGCTTGTGCTGCTGGATCTGGCCTGTACCTGTAGTAGCCAGAAAAAAAAACACAAAAACAGTCACTGGATTGTGTGAACTGAAAACTTTACTTGCTGGAGGTAATGTTATATGAACTTTGAAGCTTTCCCCAATAATAATTTCAGGAAGCGGTCAGGATTTATTTGAACATCCTTTATTACAAAGCTAAGGTGGAGAGACAGTGTCCCCAGGCACTGCCTCCCCAGTAGTTTGCTCTGCTGCATCCCTTGTTAAACACGCAGGGAGTCTTGTTCCAGAAGATTTTGCACAGGAGGAGGAAACGCTGTAGCTCTTGGGCCCTAGGGTTAGACCACGCTTTCAGTCCCGTACTCCTGAGCTCTCGTCCCGTTCCAGGGCGGGCTGCGGGGGCGGGGGCGGGGGCGGGGTCGCGCCGGGAGCGGCGGGCTGAGCCCCTCATTGCGTTAATGAGAGGTGCTGCCCAGGGTGGTTCTTTCTTTAGTGAAAGTCTGCGTCTGTGAGTTGAAATTCACTTGTTGCTGCTGATCTGTATACTTTAAGTCACTCCGAGCCTGCTTCCTCTTCTGTTTGTAGAAAGTGTACTAGGTTAACTTGGGTGTTTTTTCAGCGTTAAAGTAGTGTCAGTTGAACTGGATTTGGCCAGTGTTCTGACTCATGCCTCATAAACAGCAGCAGAATAAGGAATTTAGTGGAAACATCATAGCCAGTTTTCTTAAGGTCTTATTCTTTATTTAAGAAGTCCTCAATTGGGTTTTAATTCTCTTCAAGTATCTTTCAGAATACTAACTTAGAATAAGAAGGAAATAAGGTTGGCCTGTATTTATTTTTAAGAAATAAAATCTTATCCATGTAACTAACCAAATATTGATAACTAAACCTTACACTTAATTAAGGAGGATTTGTCTTTCCATTGGAATAATTTCTGTGTAGCATATCACATCACCAGCCCCATCTGCACTAGTTACTTTGTTGCAGTGATTTTCAACCTTTGTACCAGCATGAATTTTTAAAACATGCAACACCTGATTTTGGTGTGCCGCAGTTTCAGTAATGTTTGTGTCTGCCATGACATATGAATAAGGTTGAAAATGGCTGCTTTGTTGCAATTATATTTTGAAAATGGAGTCTTACAAAATAGTAACAGTTTTTTCCTCTTAAAAAGTTAATTCTTAGTTTTGTCATGTGTTTGTTCCATGTATTTTCCCCTTGGATAGTAGAAAGTTACATTTCACCCTGACTCCTATGAAAGTAGTGAATGAGTGAAACCTGAATAACATTCTGGTATAATAATCTAGACCTGACTAAGTATTTTGAGAGTTTTCTTACCTGTTCAACATTTTCCTTATTTCCATGCAGTAACACTTCACATATTTGACTTATTTTGATGGAATTGGTTTCTTTCTTAAGTTTTATTTTGTGAGTTTTTTCTTTCATAGATATACAATGTAAACATTCCTTAGTATATTTATATGATTAAAAAGTAATAATAAGTTTTAGTGATATTTAGAAGATCAAACTGAAGAAAAATAATTTTTTTAAAGCTATTCTGAGTTCTCACTATGTACCAGGAACCGAGCTGCATGCTTCATATCTATCATCACTAATCCTGAGGCTAGACAACCCCCTGCAATAGTATTCTTATACCCATTTTACAGAAAAGGAGCCAGAGACTCACAAAGCACAGTGGGATTCTAAGCACGTCTGACAAAATCCCTGGTCTTTTTTTAATGTGCAAAGAGTTGGCAAAAATGCTGATTTCATAAAATGAGTATGTTTTTTCATTCTAAAATTGTTAATTAACTGATAATCATAGCTAAAATCTTCCTATACTTCAAAATTGCCTGTTGCCCAGGTGGTGGCATAATGTCTCCAATGGTGTTGAGGTGCAGAAGATTCTCTACAACCTTGACAGTTGATTTGCCACTTCATCTCATGTACATGAACTGTCTACCAACCTCTAACTTCCTTGTTGGGCCCTTTCACTATTAGACCAACCGATCAGTGACTCCTTCCTCTCTTCAGTCTTCTGAATGGATCCTACTTTGCCGTTTTGCTTCCAGCCTGTTTGCCTACAAACTATGACCAAATTATTTTCTAGCAATACAGACCTATCCAGTAGAATTTTTTTCAAATATTGTTATTTTTCACCCTTTTTAAATGTAATATTATGAAATACTTGTTTAAGGCATGCTTCTTGAAAACTTGTGGGCTTTCCCAACTAAGGAGGTAACAAAGCACTTTTAAAAGATAGAATTAGTCTTTAAAATAACAAGATGCAGTAGGGAGCAGTGCAACGTTATCTAATTCAGAAGGAATGCATATAAATATATATAGCAAGATAACTATTTAGACCTACTTTGGCCAAAGCTTGCTTGGAACATTAGTCTCATATTTTTGCAGAGCTGCTGCCTTCCTCCTCACAATAACCCTCTCTGCCCCTATCACTTTTTTTTTTTCAAGAACCTCAATTTGACATCTTATTTGTTTACTGGTTTATTGTCTGTTTTTCCCACTAGAATATAAATTATATGAGATTGGTTACCCCAGAACCAAGAATATTGTTTTGACTAATTGATTCCAAGTTGGAACATTGCTACTTAAAAAATAAAACTGTTAGTGTTTGAACAAATCATGAAATAATGTAAATTCTGGGAACTTGTAATGCTCATATTAAAGTACCAAATTGTTGTAGTAGGTTTGGAAAGTAGTAAGGGATGTCCCAGTAAGAAGAGGTCTAAAGATTAGCAAATAAGGTGTTTGGGGAAAGGTGACTATAGTATAATCGTGGTAGCTTGTTAATAAAAGAAGGCTAGTTGCTTAAAGATTTTCAAGCATGTAAAAGTATGTACTAGGAATGTAGTTATTCCTCATCTGCATTGATAAGATAAAAGGAATTGGTCATAGACTGTAGGTGCTGAGAAATAAGATAAGAACAAGCTATTCTCGAGATCTAAACAGAGATATTTGAAAGTGGGGTATGAGTGTGTATGTGGGCTAGATGCCTTCTCTAGATATTTTCCAGGTTTATGATTCCCAATGCAGATTGCAGGAGAAATACTGAAGTTAGATAGCAGATGCTCCTCTCGTTGATTATTCCTTGCTGTTCCTGGCCTTTTCTATGCATTTTAGAAACATTTTAGTGTGTTTGAGCACAGTTAATACAGATGGTTATATATTGCTGCTTTGAATAATTTATAGAATTTTTTTCACATAATACTGAAAATTGGGTGTTTCTGCTTTTAAACACTGAAATTATTTACCTTTACAATACTTTATCTCCAGAAGGTACTATATATGCACTTGCAGCAAACTAATTCCCTATAGTTAGAATGGCACCCTTTTGAGAGGGTAGAATTCCCAGCAAATCTTTCTGAAGCCTTGGTTTGCAGTCCTGTTAGAGGTTTGAGAAACACTCAGCTTTCTTGCTGAATCTAAAAGCTCAAATATTAGGCCTATCTCTAAATGATGTAATTATATTAGCTATGTCAAGTCACCTTTTATTTCTGTCCTGGCATCATCTAATTATTAAATAAGAATTGCCATTCATTTGGAAAAAACTATATATGGTGTAAGAATTCTTCAAGGTAAAAGCAATATGTATTGCGGGAACAGCCCTGAGCAGCTTCACCTTCACTAAGTAGATTTTAATTTGACACCTTTCACCTTCACCTAAGCAAGCTATTGAGAGTAACCATATAAAACATGTTAATCATATTTACTCTGTTTTCAAGAACATTGTCCTTTGTGTCATACAGTGCCATTTTATATAAAATGCCATTTAAGGTAGGCTAGAATATGGTTCTGAAAAAGTTTTGGAAGCCACTTTTTAAAATTTTAATTTAATTTTTAAATTTATATTTCAGTTACAGTTGACATACAATATTAGATTAGTTTCATGTTTACAATGTAGTGATTAGACATTTATATACCTTACAAAGTGATAACACTAATAAGTCTAGTACTCCTCTGGGACCATACATAGTTAATTACAGCATAAGTGACTGTATTCCCTACGCTGTACTCTACATCCCTGTGACTATTTTTGTAACTAGTATTTTGTACTTGATCCCTTTTACCTTTTTCACCCATCCCTCCAATCCCCCTCCATCAGACAACCATCAGTTTGTTCTCTGTATCTGTAAGTTTGTTTCTGTTTTGTTTGTTGTGGGAAATCACAATGGCATTTGTCCTTTTTTGTCTGATTTACTTCACTCAGCATAATACCCTCTGGGTCCATTCATGTTGTTGCAGATGGTAAGATTTCACTCTTTTTTATGGCTGAGTAATACTCCATTATATATATGTACCACTCCTTTTTTATCCACTCATCTATTCATGAACACTTAAGTTGCTTCCACATTTGGCTATTTTAAATAATGTTGCAATGAACATAACTGGTGCATATATCTTTTAAAAATTAGTATTTTGGATTTCTTCAGGTGAATACCCAGAAGTGGCTTAAGTTAGGAAGTGAAACCACCTGAAATCCAAAAACTCCATTCTGATTCACATACGTCCTCCTGAAGTATAATAAATAACAGTGGTCCATATGATGAGTTTCTGGAGGCATTGAATTTGGAGTTTTCCTTAATATTTAAATTTGACCTTGATTAAATACTCTTCTGTTCACTATAAGCAGATAATAATACTGCCTCCATACAGGAAGCTGGACCAGTAGTCTCTGGGGATTCTTTTCATCTCTAGGTTTTAATATTCTGTTGCAGGGCAATACTGCATTTGTGGACTTTTATTAGTAATGAATAAAGGTGTATGAGAATCTGATTTAATCTCCAGTTCTAGATTTATATTTGATCTCATTATATGGACCAAAGAAACCATTTAGTATTTATGTGCCTAGGTTCCCATGTCTATAAAATAGGGTTGATAATACCTGTTTTTTGCAACACTAACTAGTTAATGAATAAACATGTAGCCCCCTTTTAATAAGAGTTTGTGTTCTAAAATTCATTTGTAAGTTGATTGTTGGGGGCGCACTCTGATTCCCAGGGAATTATGTCATTAATAGTAGTTAAGTTCCTCATTTAACCTCTAAATGCCTGTTTGACACACAGCATAAGTGGAAAGAGTGCTTCTGAATAAAAATAGTAGAAGATACAGGATTTTCAATACTGGTAATACAGTAGTAAAAATTAAATGAATTTTTGGTTGCCTTACACGATAGTAAGACTTTTTTATAAAGAGTGATAGAAAATGTCTATTTTTTCAAATTTTTCTACCATAAATGGTATGAATGCTTTGTCAGCACCTTTTGACCGTCTTACCATATGTGCAGAGTGATACATCTTACGATATGTGCAATCCTGGAATCAGTGTGGCAGCTGTTTTCAAGTCTGCTAAACCCTTTTATAACACAGGAAACTAAAGTTACATATGGGTCTGTAAATTATTCATGTGTGTATGCAGTGCATATGGGATATATTCATATACATTAATCTGTGATGTACCCTTCTCCTCCACTTTATTGTCCATAGAATGAAGTACAGACTCCTTAGAGGAGCCTAATGATTCTTACCAGTCTGGCCCAACCTGCCATATAAGTCTTCCAAGTGATAGAGGACCATTTATGTCAGACCTCTGCCGCCTTAAGAGATTGCTTCTTAGTGCAGTGGTTGTAGTATAGTCCCTGGAATCAAAGTACCTGGTTTGAATTCCAGCTCTGCCTCTTGCTAGATGATGACGTAGCTATGAGAATGCACCTCACAAACCCGCACAGCAAGGAACCTAATTGACCAAAGGCCGCAGCAGCTGTGCCCTGAAATCCATCACTACGTTTGTGCCAAGGCCTTTAATTCTTCACAGCTTGCTGACTAAATGTGACAGAGATACTAAGACAACCCTGTTTCTGGAAGTCCTCTGATGGCCAACTAGGGCTCAAAGACTACCTCCGCTGCTTTACCAAGCCTTCCTTAAACTGCATGGTAACCCAGGGCACCTCCACCCAGCCCTTTTCCTCTCTCACTTGGGGTCGGACTTCCGTCGTGGTGTGACAGTCCGCCTAGTCTTGAACAGCTTTCTCCTCATTTTCTCTTTCAAGTATTGCTTGTAATAAAAATCCTAAACCTTTAATCCCATCTTTGCTTTGGGGATGGTAAGATCGGGATTTTGAGCAGGCTCATCCATTACCCAATCTGAAGATGCCACCCTGGCTGGCCAGTGGGGCGCTCACTGCCCTCTGGCATAAGGCTGCAGATTAATTCACCAGCCTTGGCCTGGGACAGTGTCCCTGTGGAGGGGAGTTGTGGTAGGTGTGCAGGGCTGTTAATAAGCAGTTAATAGCCAAGTGTGAGAGCTGAAGAGTCGCTGTGGTAGCTTATAGAGATGTCTTTATCACCTGTATTGGAAGGACAGACTCCGTTGAACCGTAGGCCGAAGAGCTCGCTAATTGTTGGAGTCACCGAGCTCCAGAGACATGTGAGCATTGGAAGGCATAGGCAAGGCAGGACTATCAGTGTGAAGTCAAGGAAACCCAGGATCCTAAACATGGGATAAGGTCATCTGGACGGGTGTCCCTCTGGACCCTTAGGGGCTGCACAGGTAGCCCTTCTCTAGTGAAAATGAGCTTGTTTGATGTGCTGGAAGGTGCTGTGGAAGCTCCTTGCCCATAAGGCAATAGCTTCCTTCCCTATGCTGCCCCTCTCCTTTTCTGGCTACGAGCTAATAACCAAGCCAATAACTGGGTTATATCCCAGCAAAGGAGGCTATTCCCCTAAAAATATGCAAGGTTTAACTGGCATATTTTGACAAGAAACAGGGGAGGACTCCTAGAATTGGATTTCTTTTTTAAATTTATTTTTATTGTATTTTTTCCATTACCATTTATCACGTAACACCCTCTTCCATCTCCACCCACGCCCCTCCCCACACTGTTACCACCTCCAAGAATTTTTTTTTTTTTGCTTGATCCCTCCACCCTCTAACTTCCTGTCCCAGAGATGTCATGTTCTCTGTCAGTCTGTCTATTTTGCTTGCTAATCCAGTTTGTTCATTGGATTCCACTTATGAGTGAAATCATACGGTATTTGTCTTCTGACTGGTTTATTTCACTTAACATAATGTTCTCCAGGTCTATCCATGCTATTGCAAAGGGTAAAATTTTATTTTTTACAGCCAAGTTGTATTCCATTGTGTAAAAGTACCATAGTTGTTTTATCCACTCATCTGATGAGCACTTGGGCTGCACCCAAATCATGGCTATTATAAATAATGCTGCAGTGAACATAGGGGTGCTTATATTCTTTCGAATTAGTGTTTTGCTTTCTTCAGATAAATTCCCAGAAGTAGAATTGCTAAGTCATAAGGCAATTCCAGTTTTAATTTTTTGAATAAGCTCCATACTACTTTCTTCCACAGTGGCTGCAGCAATCTGCATTCCCACCAACAGGGTAAAAGGGTTCCCCTTTCTCTACACCCTCACCAGCACTTGTTATTTGTTGATTGATTGATGATAGACATTCTGACAGGTGTGAGGTGGAATTTCATTGTGGTTTTAATTTGCATTTCCCTAATGTATGTCTTCTTTGGAGAAGTGCATATTCAGTCCTTTGCCGATATTTTGATTGGATTGTTTGTTTTTATGTGTGTTTACTATTGTAAGTTCTTTATGAGTTTTGGATATTAACCCCTTATCAGATGTATTGTCTTTTTATTTTGTTGATTGTTGCAGATGACATGATATTGAGAGAAACCTAAAGATTCCACCAAGAAGCTACTAGAACTTATAAATGAACTCAGTAAAATACCAGGATACAAAATTAATATCCAGAAATCAATTCTTCTTTTATATCCCAATAATGAACTATCAGGAATGGAAATTAAGAAAATGATCCCATTCACAATTGCTTCAAAAAGAGTAAAATACCTAGGAATAAATCTAACCAAGGATATAAAAGACCTATACTCAGAAAATTCTAAGACACTGAAGAAAGAAATTGAAGATACAAATAAGTGGAAGTATATACCATGCTTGTGGATGGAGAGAATTAATACCATTAAAATATTCATACTACCCAAAGCAGTGTATAGATTCAACACAATTCCTATATAGATACCAATGACATATTTCGCAGAACTAGACCAAATATTTCAAAAATCTATATGGGACTGCAAAAGGCCCCAAATAGCAACAGCAATCCTGAGAAAGAAGAACAAAGTTGGAGAAATCATGCTACCTAATATCAAACTATACTATAAGGCCACAGTAATCAAAACAGCATGTTACTGGCATCAAAACAGACACATAGATCAATGAAACAGAATAGAGAGCCCAGAAGAAACCCACACCATTATAGTCAATTAATATTCCACAGAGGCAGCATGCACATATAATGGGCTAAAGATAGTTTATTCAATAAATGGTGTTGAGAAAATTGGACAGATATGTGCATAAGAATGAAATGACCATGTCTTACACCACACACATGAATAAATTCAAAATGGATCAAAGACTTATATGTCAGACTAGAAATGATAAAAATCATAGAAGAAAACATAGGCAGTAAAGTCTCAGACATTGCTGGTAGCAGTACTTTCTCTGATATACCTTCTTAGGCAAGGGAAACAAAAGAAAAACAAATGGAACTACATTAAACTGAAGTTTTTGCACACCTAGGATTGGATAATGAAGGCGTTCAAGGGGGGCCAGAACGTGAGGTTGGATGAACAGAAATTTGGTAGTTTGGGAGCACTTTTTCAGATATGGAAGAATTTTGTTATAGACTAAATGTATCTCCCCCATATTGACATATTGACCTAATCCTCAGTGTGATGGTATTTGGAAATGAGGCCTTTGGAAGGAGATTAATTCATGAGAGTAGCGCCTTTACAAGTGGGATTAGTGCCTTATAAAAGAGAGCCTCCTTGCCCCTTCCACCATGTGAAGCACAGCAAAAAGCCTATCAGCCAGGTAGTGGGCTCTCATGAGGCACCATATCGGCCAGCTTCTTGTTCTTGGACTTCCCACTCTCCAGATCTGTGGGAAATAAATGTTGTTGTTTAAGCCACCCAGTTTATGGTATTCTGTTATACCAGCCCAAATGGACTAAAACAGACCCTAATGGTGGGGGAAAACTTGCTACTGGGATGGCTTTTAGAAATGACAAAAACATCATTTTTCAAGTCAAAGAAAAAGAAATGGCAAAAACAGCCAATCTCAGCAAAGTGAAAAATGTCTGTGAATATACACTTCTCCAAAGAGGGCATACAGATGACCAATAGAGATATGAAAAGATGTGCAATGTCATTAACCCTCAGAGAAATGCAAATTAAAACCACAATGAGATATCACCTCATACCTGTCAGAATGCATATCATCAATCAACAAAGTGTTGGCAAGGATGTGGAGAAAAGGGAACCCTTGTGCACTTCCAGAGGAAATGCAAATTGGTGCAGCCACTGTGGAAAGCATGAAATTCACTCAAAAAACTAAAAATGGAACTGCCTTATGACCCAGCGATTCCACTTCTGGAAATACAGAAACCTGAAACCCTAATTCAAAAGAATATATGCACCCATATATTCATTGCAGCATTATTCACAGTAGCTGAGATTTGGAAGTAGCCTAAGTGCCCATCAGTACGTGAGTGGATAAAAAGCAGTGGTACATATATACAATGGAATATTACTCAGTCATAAAAAAAAAAAAGAATGAAATCTTGTCATTTGTGGCAGTATGGATGGAACTAGAGAGTATTATGCTAAGTGCAGTAAGCCAGACAGAGAGAATAAATACCATTTGATGTCACTTATATGTGGAATCTAAATAACAAAATAAATTAAAAATTTTAGTTTAGACAGACATAGATACAGAGAACAAACTGACAGGCAAGCGGGGAAGGGTGTTGGGGCAGGTGAAATAGGTGATGGGATTAAGTAGTACTAATTTGGTAGTTACAAAATTGGCATGGGATGTAAAGTAAAGCATAGAGAACATAGTTAACAATATTGTAATAACATGTTGCCAAGTGGGCACTTGTAATTATCAAAGGGAACACTTTTTAACCTATATGAATGTCTCTGCTGTGCTGTACACCTGAGTCTAATACAAAATAGTGTTGAACACAAGCTGTAATTGAAAAATAAAATTATAATAAAAACAAAATGAGTTGCTGTGGCAGACTGTAGAGGAATGGGTAAAGAGCTGAAGGAGCCCTGGCCAGTGTGGCTCAGTTGGATGGAACATCGCCATGTACACCGAGAGGTTGGTGGTTTGATTCCCAGTCTGGGCATGTGACTAGGTCGTGGGTTCAGACCCCGGTCAAGGCATGTATGGGAGGCAACCAGTTGATGTTTCTCTCTCTCTCGACCCCCTGCCCCCTAAAATCAATAAATGTATTCTTTGAAAAAAGAGCTAAGGGAAATGGGCATGCTGAATGGATAATGCTTCATGAGAAGGCCCAGAGGATAGACTATTCTCCCAATGCCACCAGGAAAGCCCTGGTGAGAGCGGCACCAGCATCACTAAGAAGTCTGGTGGTATCTCTTCCCTGCAGGCCAGGTAAGGGAAGCAGCCGCAGAGCTGGCTCATTAACACCCGTAGGAACAAGAGAGTCCTATAGTAACAGAGGCCAGGTGGTGTTGCTTAACTACCAGGAGCTAGAAGGCCACAATTACCATAATGACTGGCAAGGTCATTCTTACAGCCAAAGGAGCTTAACCTACAAGGAGCTGTGGAGACAGCTAATAGAGCATAGTCTCCCTGGGGCAAAATAGGCAGTCCACCAGGGTGCTGATTAACATCTACTATCATAAAAGGCAAGAATAAAGGGGCAGGGGGCTGAGGGCAGTCACCACAATAAAAAGTCATGATCCCTTGCTTAGTTCCCAGACCTAAGAATTTTCAGGGCTTTATTACCATTTATTAGAGTGACTGTACATTGGGGACAGGGTAGAAATCACGTGTTTTGAGTTCTCTTGGTCACAGAATCCGAGTCCATGTTGATGTCTGGAGATCTAAAACAATATCATGACCTTCCTGTTAGAATGGGAACCTACCAGACCGAGTGTTCTGGCTCAAGTTAGTCTCACAGTGGACCCACTGGGTTCATGGACTCACCCAGTCGTCATTCCTAGTCATCAAGTGCATAATTGGAATTTGTGGATGTGGCAAATGGAGGAACTGCCACATTAGGTCCCTGGTGTGAAGCAGGAGTTATAGCAGGGATTGCCAAATGAACCCCTCTGAAACTGCCCCCCCGACCCACTCCTGCCAAGGTAATAAATCAGACACAGTATCTCGTTGAAATAATTAGATTAGTGCAACCTAAATGATATAGGGGTGCTGGTCCTAAACAATTTTTAAAATTTGCTAATCTGTCCTCTCAAGAAACTGGGTGGATCCTGGTGTATGACTATAGACTACTGCTAACTAAAGCAAGTAATTACCCTGCTCATAGCTGCTGCTCTGTGCTGGACTTGTTGCTGGAACAGATTAATATGGCCTCACATCCATGGAATGACATTGATTTGGCAATGTGGATTTTTTTTTTTCCATTCCAATTGGAAAAGAGTATCAAACAGTTGATGTTCACAGTCAACAGTATTGATTTAGACAGTTTTCCCTGAGGGCTGTGTTAACGCTCTCATCCTCAGTCGTAATATAATATGAAGAAATATGGACCACCTACGTGTCCCTTAGAACACCACACTGGTCCATTTTATTGACAACATCATGCTGATTGGATGGATGAGAAGGGGTGGCTAGTATGCTGAAGGCCTGGCTAGGATACATGCACTCCAGAGGGTGGGAGGTGAACACAAGATTCAGGAACTAGCCATTGCAGTAAAGTTGCCAGCTTTCCACTGGGGGGGCGGGGGGTGGGGCGCAGGATATCCCCTCCACAATGAAAGACAAATTGCTGCCTCTTGCAGCCCACCACAAAGAAGGAAGGAGAGTACTTTATAGGCCTCGTTTACTTCTGGAGACAACACGTTCTAAACTAGGAATAATGCTCTCACTTACACACCGAGCTACTAAGCGATATGAAAGGCTGCCGGTTCTGAAGGGGCCCAGAGCAGGAAAGGGCTCTGCAGCAGCAGCTCCAGGCTTCGGGGCAGGCATCCCTGACTGACACTTGGACCATGTGATTCAGCAGACGGTCGGGGTGTCAGTGGTGGGAAAGATGCAATGTGGAACTCATGGCAAGTCCGGGGGAGAATCCCATCACAGGGCCCTGGGATTCCAGAGCCGTAATGGCGCCTGCAGCAGATGATTGTGTGCCCATTGAGAAACAGCTCTTGGAATGTAACTGGGTCCTGCAGAGATGGAATGCTTCACCGTTGGACACTTAAACCCGCCTCTCCTCTCTGTCCCTGTCGAAGTGAGTAGCCAATTTTATAACTCCATCATTCTACCTATATTTTTTAGTTGACAGAAATTCTAAGAAGTGTTTCCCTTCCCCGTTTTTCATTTATAACAGAGAGACTTAAGGATTCTCATGTCAACATTAAAATCCATTACTGTCATTGCTTTTTTAGGTGTTTTAATTATCCCGATTTGACCAATAGGAGCCCCAGAATGTGCCCTGTGTGTGTTAGGAGCCCCACTGTGTCATGTCCTCATCATTCTTTGTGCCCTTTATTCTTTTTTGGTACAGCCACATGTTCCAAGTTCACCTTGTACTTTCTCTGCCCCAGCCCTGGAATCAGCCATATTTTCAAGGAGCCCTGTTTTTTCTTGTGGAGAATGACAGTCTGGAACCAAGAGCTGAGTGCTATGTTTGTTCATTGCTGCTGGTATGTCATTGCTCCTAGGCCCTCTCAGCAGGCAGAATCATACACAAATGTCTATATCTACTTCCATACCTGTTGAAAACCGAAGTTCATACTGACACCTTCAATTCTAGGCTATCACCACTTTCTAGTTTTACCTTTTCCACCTTGGTAACTCCCTCAACAGAAAGAAACCTGGTTGTCATTATCATCAATATATTTACCCATTTGCTCAAGGCTAGAATACATGAAAGGTTATTTTAGAAGTGCTCTCTTATTATTGTGAAAGGAAAACTGACAAGATTTTTAGGTGTCCCGTTTGTTTTCTACCCGTTCTCTCACTTTGGCAGCCATCTGAGCCATCTTTTAAAATAGGTTAATAAACTCAAACTTAAGCCCCAAATAAGCATGTCAAGACTGAAAACTGAGTGGCTCAGGGAATGAATGTTTAAAGGGCTATAGAGCTTCAACAGTCCAGCTCACTAGCGTCAATCCTCATGTTTGCTGTAACTCATAGTGTCTGACACAGAATTGGTTATGGTGGGTAATAGTAGCTGATCATGGCTTTATTGTCCCAGTCTTAGTGAATATAATAATGTCACTAAGAATTGCCACCTCAGCTGAAGGAAAGGGCAGATTTCCTCTCAAAGGTGCTGTTTAATCATTGTAAAAGCAAATTACAATAGATTGTTCATAAGTCACTTCTGCCCATGCATAAAGTACTTAAAGCACAATTACATCTTTTATAACCTTGCGTTATGATCATAGCCTTTCAAAAATCACATCAGGTTTTACGAGCTACTAATATTTGAACAAATATTTAGAAAATGGTTCAAGGAAAAACATGCTATCACAAAGACAGTACTCTTAATCTGGAAGGCTAGCACTTTCTGTACGAAAAACTAACTGATGTTGGAGAGATGGCATTTTGTAGTTGGAATATAAAAGTTCAGGATCCTGTGCAAATGTGCTATGAACTTCATGTTCAAGGATACAAAGTCATTTGTGCCTTAAGGAGAATTTTTTTTTGTCTTTTTAAATATGTTTTATTGATTATGCTATTATAGTTGTCCCATTTTGTTCTCCCCTTTATTCCTTCTGCCCTGCACCCTCCCTCCTTTGTGCGTCTCCTGCCTCCCCCCCCCCCCGCCCTCAGTTCATGTCCATTGGTCGTAGGTATAAGTGCTTTGGCTTCTCCATTTCCTGTGCTATTCTTAACCTCCCCCTGCCTATTTTGTACCGACCAATTGTGCTTCTTATTCCCTGTACCATTTCCCTCATTCTCCCCCACCATCTTCATTTCTGTAATTCTGTTCCTGTTCTAGTTGTTTGCTTAGGGGTTTTTTTGTTGTTGTTTTTTAGGTTCAGTTGTTGATAGTTGTGAATTTGTTACCATTTTACTGTTCATAGTTTTTGATCTTTTTCTTAGATAAGTCCCTTTACCATTTCATATAATAAGGACTTGATGATGATGAACTCCTTTAACTTGACCTTATCTGGGAAGCAATTTATCTGCCCTTCCATTCTACATGATAGCTTTGCTGGATAGAGTCATCTTGGATGTAGGCCCTTGCCTTTCATGACTTTGAGTACTTCTAGCCAACCCCTTCTTGCCTGTAAGGTTTCTCTTGAGAAACCAGCTGATAGTCTTTTGGGAACGCCTTTGTAGATAACTCTCCTTTTCTCTCACTGCTTTTAAGATTCTCTCCTTATATTTAATCTTGGATAATGTAATTATGATGTCCCTTGGTGTGTGCTTCCTTGGGTCCAACTTCTTTGGGACTCTCTGAGCTTTCTGGATCTCCTGGAAGGCTATTTCCTTGGCCAGACTGGGGAAGTTCTCCATTATTTTTCAAATAAGTTTTCAATTTCTTGCTCTTCCTCTTCTCCTTCTGGCACTCCTATGATTCGGACACTGGAATGTTTAAAGTTGTCCCAGAGGTTCCTAAGTGTCTACTCATTTTTTTGAATTCTTGTCTTTTCATTCTGTTCCAGTTGAATGTTTATCTCTTCCTTCTGTTCCCAGTCATTGATTCGAGTCCTGTTTCCTTCCCCTCAGTGTTGGTTCCCTGTATATTTTTCTTTATTTAACTTTGCATAGTCTTAACCTTCTCTTCCATCCTGCAACCATACTCAACCATTTCCGTGAGCATCCGGATTAACATTGTTTTGAACTCTGCATCTGATATGTTGGCTATCTGTTTATCGCTTAGTTCTACTTTCGGAGCTTTGATCTGTTCTTTCATTTGGGCCATATTTCTTTGTCTCAGCGCATCTGTTATGTTGGAAAGGGTGGAGCCTTAGGTATTCACCAGGCTGGGGCAACATAGGTCACTGCGTTGTGAAGCTGT